CTTTTTGTTGTCTGATTGCTGTGGCTAGGACTTCTAATACTATGTTGAATAGCAGTGGTGAGAGTGGACATCCCTGCCGCGTTCCTGACCTTAGGGGAACAGCTCTCCGTTTTTCCCCATTGAGAACGATATTCGCTGTGGGTTTTTCATAGATGGCTTTTATGATATTGAGGTAGGTACCCTCTATCCGTATACTCTGAAGAGTTTTGATCAAGAAAGTACAGCTACTTTGCCAAATGCTTTTTCTGCATCTATTGAGAGTATCATATGGTTCTTGTTCTTTCCTTTATTAATGTATTGTATACATTGATTGATTTGCCACCCATGGATAAATCCCACTTGGTCGTGGTGAATAATCCTTTTAATGTACTGTTGGATCCTATTGGCTAGTATTTTGGTGAGAATTTTTGCATCCATGTTCATCAGGGATATTGGTCTGTAATCCTCCTTTTTGATGGGGTCTTTGGTTTGGGGATCAAGGTAATGGTGGCCTCATAAAATGAGTTTGGAGGTTTTCCTTCCATTTCTATTTTTTGGAACAGTTTCAGAAAAGAGGTATTAATTCTTCTTGAAATGTTTGGTAGAATTCCCCTGGGAAGCCGTCTGGCCCTGGGCTTTTGTTTGTTGGGAGATTTTTGATTACTCCCTCAATTTCCTTAGTGGTTATAGGTCTGTTCAGGTTTACTATTTCTTCCTGGTTCAGTTTTGGTAGTGGATACATCTCTAGGAATGCATCCATTTCTTCCAGGTTATCTAATTTGCTGGCATAGAGTTGCTCATAATGTGTTCTTATAATTGTTTGTATTTCTTTGGTGTTGGTTGTGATCTCTCCTCTTTCATTCATGATTTTGTTGATTTGGGTCATTTCTCTTTCCTTTTTGATACGTCTGGACAGGGGTTTATCCATCTTGTTAATTCTTTCAAAGAACCAGCTCCTAGTTTTGTGGATCTGTTCTACTGTTCTTTTGGTTTCTCTTTCATTGATTTGTGCTCTGATCTTTATTATTTCTCTTCTCTTGTTGGGTTAGGCTTTATTTGCTGTTCTTTCTCCAGCTCCTTTAGGTGTAGGGTTAGGTTGTGTATTTGAGACCTTTCTTGTTTCTTGACAAAGCCTTGTGTTGCTCTATACTTTCCTCTCAGGACTGCCTTTGCTGCATCCCAAAGATTTTGAACAGTTGTGTCTTCATTTTCATTTGTTTCCATGAATTTTTTTAATTCTTCTTTAATTTCCTGGTTGACCCATTCATTCTTTAGTAGGATGCTCTTTAGCCTCCATGTGTTTGAGTTCTTTCCGACTTTCCTCTTGTGATGGAGTTCTAGTTTCAAAGCATTGTGGTCTGAAAATATGCAGGGAATGATCCCAATCTCTTGGTACCAGTTGAGACCTGATTTGTGACCTAGGATGTGATCAATTCTGGAGAATGTTCCATGGGCACTAGAGAAGAATGTGTAGTCCGTTGCTTTGGGATGGAATGTTCTGAATATGTCTGTGAAGTCCATTTGGTCCAGTGTGTCATTTAAAGTCTTTATTTCCTCGTTGATCTTTTGCTTAGATGATCTGTCCATTTCAGTGAGGGGGGTGTTAAAGTCCCCCACTATTATTGTATTGTTGTCGATGTGTTTCTTTGCTTTTGTTATTAGTTGCCTTATATCATTGGCTGCTGCCATGTTAGGGGCATAGATATTTACAATTGTTAGATCTTCTTGTTGGATAGACCCTTTAAGTAGGATATAGTGTCCTTCCTCATTCCTTATTATAGTCTTTGGTTTAAAATCTAATTTGTCTGATATAAGGATTGCCACCCAGCTTTCTTTTGGTGTCCATTAGCATGGTAAATGGTTTTCCACCCCCTCACTTTCAATCTGGGGGTGTCTTTGGGTCTAAAATGAGTCTCTTGCAGACAGCATATCGATGGGTCTTGTTTTTTTATCCAATCTGATAGCCTGTGTCTTCTGATTGGGACATTTAGCCCATTTACATTCAGGGTAACTACTGAAAGATAGGAATTTAGTGCCATTGTATTGCCTGTAAGGTGACTGTGACTGTATATTGTCTGTGTTCCTTTCTGGTCTATGCTGCTTTTAGGCTCTCTCTTTGCTTAGAGCACCCCTTTCAATATTTCTTGTACGGCTGGTTTCGTGTTTGCAAATTCCTTTCCTTTTTGTATGTCCTCGAAGCTTTTGTTCTCTCCTTCTATTTTCAATGACAGCCTGGCTGGATATAGTATTCTTGGCTGCATATTTTTCTCGTTTAGTGCTCTGAAAATATCCTGCCAGTACTTTCTGGCCTGCCAGGTCTCTGTGGATAGGTCTGTTGCCAATCTAATGTTTCTACCATTGTAGGTTACAGATCTCTTCTTCTGAGGTGAGCTTTCAGGATTTTCTCTTTGTGTCTGGGACTCGTAAGTTTTACCTATTAGACGTCAGGGTGTTGACCTATTTTTATTGATTTTGAGGGGGCTTCTCTGTGCCTCCTGCATTTTGATGCCCGTTTCCTTCCCCAAATTTGCTCCAATATACCTTCTGTCCCTCTCTCTCTTCTTCTTCTGGGATCCCAATTATTCTAATGTTCTTTCGTCTTATGGTATCACTTAGCTCTCGAACTCTGCCCTCGTGATCCAGTAATTGTTTATCTCTCTTTTTCTCAGCTTCTTTATTTTCCATCATTTGGTCTTCTCTATCACTAATTCTCTCGTCTGCCTCATTTATCCTAGCAGTTAGAGCCCCCATTTTGGATTGCTCCTCATTAATAGCCTTTTTGTTTTCGACTTGGTTAGATTTTATTTCTTTTATTTCTCCAGAAAGGGTTTCTCTAATATCTTCCATTCTTTTTCAAGCCCAGCTAGTATCTTCAAAATCATCACTCTGAACTCTAGTTCTGACATCTTACTAATGTCCGTATTGGTTAGGTCCCTGGCGGTCAGTACTGCCTCTTGTTCTTTTTTTTTGAGGTGATTTTTTCTGTCTTGTCATTTTGTCCAGAGGAGAATAGATGAATGGAAGAACAAAATGCAAACAGGGTAACAATGTCCCCAGAAAATATACACTAAACAAATCAGAAGAGACCTGAAACCGGGGGAGAAGAAAGGGAAAAGAAAGAAAAAAGAAAAGAAAAAGATAAAAACAAAAACAAAACAAAAACAGAATATGATCACATATGATCAGGCTGGTGCATAGATCAGTGCCACACACTAGATTTTGGGCGTATTTTTGTCTGTTAGAAGAAAGTGCCTCCCAAAATTTTAAAGAAAGAAAAACTTACTTATGTACAAAAATAAGGGTTAATATGATGAAGGGTTGGAATATGACTGTAAAGATGAAAATTATAAAAGATTTTATAAAAGGAATTGATAAGAAGTTGTTTGAAAAAAGAATGAAGATTAAAAAAAAAAAGGAAAAAAAGGGAACAAGCAAGAGACTAAAACAAAGCCATACACTAGAGATTTAGGGTATATTTTGATCTGTTAGAAGAAACTGTATCCCAAAACTTTAAAGAGAGAATATATATATATATATATATATATATATATATATATATATATACCAAAAATAAGGTTAACTACTATGAAGGGGTAGACTGTGACTCTTGCAGAAATTGGTCGCTTTTCTGTTCAGAGAGTTGCTGGTAGTCTTTTCTTCGACCTCCTGTTGAGTTCGTAGGTGTTCAGAATGGTTTGATCCCTATGTAGCTGAATTTTTGGGACCAGACGAAATTTAGGTCTCCTACTCCTCCGCCACCTTGCTCCTCTCCCCATCTATCAGTTAGTTTTTGAATGCATTTCAAAGTAAATTGCAGACACTTCTGAAATACTTCAGCATTCATATCACTAAAATTCAAAATTTGTTCCCAGATTTTTTTTTGAGGTAAAATTTATAGGTGAATACATAAATCTTAAGTGTATATTTGCTGTTTTGACAAATGCACACACCTTTGTAACCCAAACACCTGTCATGATACAGAACATTACCATCTCCTTTCTAGCCCTTCCCCATCAGTCTTGGCCAGCCTCCTACCCTATGGTAACTCCCAGAGGCAAACATCTCCTATACCTACCCTTGTTTTCCACTACTGATTTTTCCCCCACCATATACTATGTATGTTCTCTCTGCATCTGCTTATTTCATTCTGCATAATATGTTTAGATTCATCCATGTTTCTGTGTGTGTTGATAACCCATTCCTTTTTATTAGCAACTAGTATTCCATTGAATAAATGTAGCACAGTGAGTGTACCCACTCTTCTATAGATTGATACCTGGACAGTTTCCAAGTTGTGGATATTATGAATAAAGCAGCTTACAATGTTCTAGTAGGCTTTTTTCTGTGTATGTGTGTGCGTGTATGTGTGCGCATGCGTGCATAAATGTGTGCACCTGTGCATGTACTTGGGTTTATATGTTGTCATCTCTCATGGGTAAATGCTGCCCAGGTGTGGGACTGGGTCATAAGGTTAATGCGTGTTTAATTTTATAAGAAATGACCAGTCCTGCTTCTAGGAAATTTTCCTTGCTCTTAAAAAGAGACCCCCCCCCCCGGTAAAAACAAAACAAAGAAACAAACCCTTCCTTTGGGCAAGGTTGTGTCTAGATAAGATGCCCAGACGTCTGCAGCCCTGAGGACAGAGCTGACACATGGGAAGGAACAGGGTCATCTGTGACAAATTAGACCTTGGTGTCACCAGCTGCAGGGCTGCCTTCCTTGGAGTTATGTGACCTAATAACATTCCTTGTTATTTAAGACAGTTTGAATCAGAGATTCTTTTATTTTTTTATTTAATTTTTTAAAGATTTTATTCATTTGATACACAGAGAGAGAGCACAAGCGGGGGCGGGGGGCAGAGGAGAGGCAGAGAGGCAGGCTCCCCGCGGAGCAGGGAGCCCGATGCGGGGCTCGATCCCAGGACCCCGGGATCATGACCTGAACCAAAGGCATATGCGTAACCCACTGAGCCACCCAGGCGCCCTGAATCAGAGATTCTTTTAAAAAAAACGTATAGAGTTGTGCTCACTTCGGCAGCACATACACTAAAAGTTGGAACGGTACAGAGAAGATTAGGATGGCCCCCGAGCCAGGATGACGGGAAAAGTCATGCAGTGTTCCGTATTTTTGAGATGAGCACTGGGTGTCGTATGGAAGTGATGAATCACTGAATTCTACTCCGGAAACCAACATTGCACCATACGTTAATGGACAAAATTTAACTTAAAAAATGTATAGAGTAAAAATATTTTTATAAACTACTGAAGTATCACATACGTACAGAAAAGCGCATACAGAATAATTCCCACAAACCGGATATAGGTTAGTGACTGGCCTCCAGGTGGAGGAACAGCGTGACCTGTAATGCGGCAGCCTCGGGGAAACGGGCCATACCACACGCGATCAAAATTACAAGTGCAAACCTAACAGTTGAGGCCCAGTTGAGTTCACTGGCGCATCCCACCAAACGTGTAAGGAGTGCCCCACAAAAACGAAGTCAGACTTCCCCTTGGGAAAGCCCCTTGCCCTCTCCCAGTCTCCCCAGGCCCCCCACCTCCTCCTGCAGCCACTCCGTCCACGCGGGTTTTGCTCCCATAGTCTCTCTAAATCCCGCTCCGCTTGCCCAGGTGGTTGTGCAAGGCCGAGCCGTCGCGTTAGCTGAGCCTCCACCGAGTGTCCCTCGGCATGTCCTGGGGTGCACGGTGAGCAGGAGGGAGACACCCACTGTCACAGAGTCGCCCCGCCGCACGCCCCTGGTCCCCATGGGACCAGCCGAAACGGGGTAGGCCAGGAAATAAGCCGTGTGACTTTGGACGTGTGTCTACTCGGGCCTCGGCTGTTGTTTTATTTGTGAAGTGGGTCGAATGATGGTAGCTACTTCCTAGGGCCGTTCTGGGGGTGGAACGTAAAGGGCTTCCGTGTATTAAGGGGGCTCATGTTCTGGGGCTTAGGGGATAATGTCTTTCCAGTTTCCACCCTACGCAGGAAGGGATGCTTCCCACGGAGCACCGTCAGCGGGAGCACCAAAGATCACCCGTGTCACTAGGGTTAGACCCAGAGGGGGCCACCTGCTGGGTCCCTGCGCAGAGCTGCCTGCAGTGCTCAGCTGGCCCCACATGGGGGGATCAAGGTGTCAAGTGGCCTTGTGCAGGGTTTGTGAGGGAAAGCGTATTCCCGTGGAGACATCCATCCAATTGTAAGACCTCCAATTAGAATACACTTTGAACAATTACATATGAACACAGAGGGAGAATCAGCTACAAATGCAATTTCAGGTTTTTGGTTTAGGACGCACCACTGCTAAGTGGACCTCAGGTGGAAATAAAAATGTAGCGGGGCGGCGGGGGTGGGCGGTGTGGATCATGGAGACTGGAAGACCATTAGCCAACTGTAGATGAAGAAAAATTTGGACAAATCAGAACAGAGTCAATAGCTAAAGCTTCTCTTCTTGGAAACTGACCTCTAGCGATACTTACATTAATTGGATATTAAATCGTATACCAGTATTTCCCAAAGTTCATCCATTAGTGCATAGCTGACATGATTTTTCCCCATAACTATTTATCATTTGTACTATTTTTAATTAGCATTTTCCCTTCAGTGAGTTCCTTTAAAAAAAATGTCTTTAGCCTCACTCTATAATTTACATTTCTAATTCACATCAAAGCCACTACATAACCATCAAAAGAAAAAGTGTCCACTCTGTGCCACTGAAAAGCCATCACCCTTTGGAATATATTTTCTCCTGTCACTGACTTTGCAGATGGTGGCTCACTCCCCAGCCAATCTCAGCAAGCCGTGTTCATAAGGTCCTGAGCTAAAGAATGTCTCCAGAGATGTTTTGCAGAAAAACCCAAGGCTTGGTTCTCTTTAACCAAATCCACGTCTCTCACACAGTTCCCTGTCTCAGCCAAGGTCGATGGCGCTCTACCGGGTCTTCAGCCCAGAAGGCGGTGAAATCACTCTTGCCTCCCATCTTTCTCCCACCCTTGTAAGTCCGACAGGAAATCCTGTTGGCTCTGCCTTCAGACACACCCCTGTTCGGACCGCTTCGCATCATCTCCATCTCCAGCCCTTCGTCCACGGCTCTTGGTTGGGTGTCGTGAAAGCCTCTACCTTGTCTGCTTCTCGACCCGCTTCTCTGCAGCGTGTGTTCCCGATGGAACCAGGGAGACAGATACACTGGAAAGCTCTCCAGAGGCCAGATCGTGCCACCGCTCTGCCCATAGATGTCTGATGACGTCCCATCCATGACACAGCAACGTCAAAAGTCCTTCAGCCCTTCCCGACTGCCATCCCCTGCACGTCCACCCCACGCGTCTTGGCCCCACATCAGCTGCTCCTGTCTTGGCCTCTCTGCTCAGGCCACCCTGGCCATCTGCTCCTTCTTCCACCCAGCAAGCACATTCTTATCTGGGGATCTTTACGTGTGCCCCTCCTTTTTCCAGGAATGCTTTTCCTCGGGCATAAACACGGCTTGTCCTTTCTCCCACTTCCTTCAGGTGCCTATCAGAGAGGGCTTCTCTGATTACACCATGTTCAACAACCTTCGCTCACCTCTTATTTTGCTTTCTTCTTCTTCTTAGCATGTATCACCTAACAGATCACATTTAATTTTATTTTTTGTCTGTCTCCTCCTATTTAGAATGGAAGCATCCTGGGAAGATGCTTAAGACTTTGTTTTGGCCTAAAAGAGTAGGCTTGGCGAATAGTAGGCATTTAAGAAACACATGAGTAAATGCTGGGCTGCAGAAGTACTATCTGACCATTACAGTCAAGGGTGTGGTGCCCAGAAAGAGCAGAACCAGGTAGGCAGCGCCACCTGCCCCAGACCCTAGTTCTCTACCTTACAGTTAGAGATACGCCTCCTGCTACATGGGTAGCGTCCTTCCTGATTCACATATTCATTCATTATTATGTAATGACATTACACGGAGCTACTTTCTCTGCCACATGGGATGCTGCCCATTACATGAGTCACAGAATCAAGCCAGTAAGATCTTTAAAATGTACTCAGTTGAATTTTGTTTTTTGAGCAGTTTCAAGAGCGAGTGCTCCAGGAAACATAGAAGTGACACATGGCCTTTGTGACCCAGACTCAGAAGTCACATGGCAGAGTTTCCGTGTTCTCTGGTTTTTATGGGCAGTCACAAGTCCACCCAGCTTTTGGGGGGAGATGACACAGATCCCCACTTTTCCACCAATGGAAGGTCAAAGAATTTGCAGCTGTGTTTGTGAGCTGCCTCAGGGAGGTATGACTCAGTTAAGCGGGGCGGGGGGTAGTAATTGGGAAAGTATTTTGAGGATGAAAGTTTGAGCAGGGGTAGGACAGGGCAGGTATGTTTAGGAACCATCAAGAGACCTATGTGCCCAAGTGGGAGACTGACAAGGAGAAATGTCAAAGCCAAATGCAAAGGCTTGTCTAGGTGAGTGCGAATACCTGGTTTAGGAGTCTAGTCTTTATTCTGTAGACAGGCGGTGTTTAAACCGGTTTGCTTACGTATCCCTAAGGGAATTTTGAAAAACACATTTTTAGCTTTGTACCCATTTTTCCCCCCATAATTTAAAAGTAATTGCAAAGGTCAGCAGCTCTATGTGGTCATTCAGGCTGACGGAGGTTTTCCACCTTCTTCTTTCTGTGACATCCAAGGTCACTGCGGATACCTCCCTCCAAATCTGTGCTGCAGTCTGGAGGAGCTCACGTGGGAAGGCGTTATGGGCCAAGGACACATTGATGCAGGTCACTTCTGCTCCCTCTCCATTGGCCAGACCTCAGTTAATGGCCACTCCCGATGGCAGGGGACACCAGGGCGGAGCGAGGAACACAGAGTTTGCGGAAGAGCTAGCGGTCCTTGCTACAGAGCATCTGTATGTACAGCATTCAGCACATTTGCTGGCCGTCAGGAAGCATTCAACACAGAGCCCGCTGCTATTATTAACACTATTATTATTATTATTATTATTATTACACATTCAGTCTGCATGCTGTGTTCTGTGCCCCAGTGGATATGCACTCCCTACGCTGCAGCTCAGAGGCCCCCAAGGTAGATGCACTTTAGGCAAGGGAGGCCCTGGAGCCTTGGAGCCCAATTCGTAGCTCATAAACCTCAGCCGGCAACTTGGCCGCCCAGGTCAGTGGGCTGCAGACGGAAGCTGTGCTAAGTCCTGGCCCAGCTCCCCACGTGGCTGTTTGTTCATCTCCTGCCTGCCTTCAACAATCCACCGGCCCCACCCCACCCTCCTCCCTGCCTTGCACCCAACTCCTACCTCCAGGAGTCCCAGGGTGGACTCCGAGACACCTGGAGAAAGCCAGGGACTGGCCCTGGGCCAAGAGGCAAGTTTCCGTCCCCGTAGCTGCTGCTCCAAGGGTCCCAACCGAGAATCACTGGAGAAGAGGCCCCAGCTTTAAGAAGTCGAGGCTTTTGGGCTTGCTGTGTGGGGACATGGGTGGAATGTCGCCGACTTCCAAGAACAGATCGAACATTCAAAGTCTTTGCTTTCTTTTCCCTGCCGCTGATACCTGGGCCCAAACAGTGGGAAGAACACACTTTTTCCCTAGGGATTCTAGAAGCCACGGAGACTAGCACAGAGGCCATACTGCAGGACGTTTGGTTTTGTCCTGGGAAGGCCCCTGGGGGACAATGGAAACACTGCTTTATTTGCTTCCCTAAACTCCCAACTTTAAATGCCTACTATCAATTTCTTTATGTAGTTACAACCTTTCTAGACAAGTGGGCCATCCCCTGGTCCAGAACTTAACTCCTACATTCAAAATGACCCAAACTCACATCTCCGGGGGGATCTGTCCTGCCGAGTCTCCACTGGGTGCTGGGTGGTGGGGGCGGTGGAGACAAAATGTACTCTTTTCCAAATCAAACAGGAGAAGCAGGTGTGCCCGAGCGTGTGTGTGTGTGTGTGTGTGTGTGTGTGTGTGTGCGCACGGTGCAAAGTGACGAGCTCCAGGTGTGATCTCCCAGGGCTGGTGCCGGGTTTTTCCACAAACAGGCTCAGCTGGGGTGCGTTCTGCCCGGGGTGTGAGTCAGCACACAAGTAGTTAAGTCGGCAGCCCGGCTCCCTGGGCTAGCGCAGTGGCCTCCGGGACTTAGCATGCAGCACCGCTCAGCAGGGC